TATATATATATATATATATTCACAAGTATCACAAATATTTTCGGGAGTTGCACCACATGACATTTTACAGTTTGAACTAAACTTGCCTAGTCATAAAAATTTCAAATTATCTAATGTGTTTAAAGATTTGGTAGATTTTAAATACTTTTTTTCTTCCGAAATTTAATAAGCTGTGAAGCAGTTTTTCACATGCAGTCATAACAGATGTCATTAACACAATCTGGAAGCTACTGTAGCAAAAACAGCCTGTTGTTAATGTAAAAAGGTGTAAATGTGTTTTATTCGCTAATGGCATCTACATGCATGTACTGGATTGATTAATATGAACATGTTAAAAACACCACATGTAGTGTTCGTATGATCCACCCTGAAGGGGTCTTTAAGAACTATTTAAATCTTTGCACTTTTTCAGGTTTAGAGACCTGTCTATTTTTCTCATCTCACAGACACTGTGCCCAATCATTACCTTCACATTTACACCTTACTTGCTTTTGGCACTTTAATAAATGGAGAGGTGCAGGTTGTAAGTGAGATGTAACCAGATGAGCAGTGATTTCAGCAGCGTGCTGGATGCAGAGGGCGAGAACTGGGCTCGCACACTCACCGGCTAATGGGTGCAGAAATGCTGCTGGCCTGAGGGAGTTCTAGTAATGATATAAGGAAAGAGCCTGGAATCCATCATGCTTAGGGGAAATCAGAGACAGGATTCTCACTCAGACCACCTGCCCCCACACCAACACACACACACACACACATCCTGTTGAGGAGTTATTATTGCAGGACAATTTATGCCATCTGCTCAAAATATTTATGCCTGTGGGTATCATGTATTCATATGTTTTGAATGGAGCCAGACAGATAAATTCTTTCATTTGTTGTGTTGCATGTTGTACATTACTTCTTTGTTGTAGAGCCTTTATTTTAGTTATACAACATTCAAATTCATGCATTTCAGCTGAAACCAGATCTATTGCTAGCAGTGTCCTTTGGCGACCCAGTTTGTTTTGTCCCACTTTTAAAGGTCCCATATTGTACACCTTTCTGGAGTTTTATTTTAGGTTTTGATGTCCTTAAGAATATATATTTGCGGTATAAGTACCAAAAACCATCTCAATATATTTTATAGCTCCTTCTTCAGGAGCTCTGCTGAGAACAGGTCGGTTTTGGCCTGTCTAATTAATATTCATGAGCCTCTCTTCTGATTGGCCTGTTGTTTTCTGAGTGACGCACGGCCAGTCCAACCACAGGTAACTAGGGTCAGCGACGTCACAGTGCTAGCTGGAGGCAAAAGGTTCAATAAAGTATTGTCTTTTGTTGTTATGGGCGCATCTACAGATTTCTTGCCATATGTCTATGTTTCTTGCATCTCACGATTATGTCGTGTATGAAATAATGTCTGCGTGCATGTGTATAAAACAACAAACTGACAATTTATATATAATCATTTGTAATTGTATATACATTGTTGTGATTAATTGTGGCTGGAACAATAATGTAAAAGTTAACCTTTTCGACATGTTTCCGCGATGTTGTCTGGGGTTTGGCAAAAGGAGAGTGGGACGGTGGGCGGTGCTCGGGGTGGTGACTGAAGGCGGTGACTGTGTAGTTCTGACGTCAACTTTTTACGGAAGTCACAACGGTTCGTGAAAAATCACAGCTACTTTAAGCAGGCTGTGTGAATTTTACTGTGGACTGACTGTTTTGAAACTTATATGGTAGTTACATAGCACCTAGACCTCAGTTATCATGAAAAAAGCCAGGAAATTTCAGTTTTGACAATATGGGACCTTTAAGTTTGAGTCACTTAGTAATGGCACTAATGGCATGGGCAGGTACAAGGGAAAAATACAAGAGAAATAAATCATGACATGAATGCCAAATTAGTGCAGGCATAGACATTCAAATATTTCCTTAAAATAAGCCAAGAAAGTGAGCAAAAAAGGGCAGCAGAGTCATTCTAGGTCTAGTTCATGATTCAAGTTAATTTGTCAGAGGAGCGCGTGTTGACTCTGCCGGAAAAAAAAGAAGAAATATAAAAAATAAATCACCTGCTAGGTGTTTTGTTAATTTAGCCCTCATCCAATAATGACTTTGACGTCCCTGGGTTTTGTGAGTGTTTAAACTGGCCTTGAGTTTTTCTAATCCTCCTCCTCTTCTTAAACGTGGGTTTATTTATTTATTTTAATAATTAACTAGAAAAGGAAAGTTGAAAAATTAAAACAGTTTCAAGGTTATATGCCTTATGTGGTAGAGATGGATATATGGATGAATGGATGGATATATTGATGTATAGACGGATATATGGATGAATGTACAGATGGATAATTAGATGGACGGATAGATGGCTTTATCATATTATATATTCATAATAACAGTCTGAATATATTCATGTAACAGTCAGTTGTGATCCACAGTCAATGTACTGTTTTTGCTTTTGTCAGTCTGAAAAATAGCCTTTCTGCTGAAGCCATCAAAGAGAATAAGATATACAAGTCATGCATGTGGTTGCCTGGTTGAGAAAAAGAAACAAAACATGGCAGATATTTCTGTCTTGCACAGGTGTGAAGTTCTGATTCGAGGAATGCGTCTCTTAATAGGGCCTTTCGCACCGCTTTAGTTCCACGGTACTAAAATCGCACCCAGTTCCGGCGGTGCGAAAACGCCAAAAAGTGGGTAGTTCCACAATTAGTTCTGGTACTATGAAACGGTTCCCGCGGTGCGAAAGGCCCTAATATCAGGTAGCCCCAGTTATGTTTGTACGTGAGCCAGATTAAAACTACTTGTTGTCTGTATGTTATATTCTATTAATTATTTTCAGTAACCTTGCACTTTTCCATTCTGTTTTAAACGCTGTTCTTGTATTCAAATTAAGTAGTATGTGACGCTACTGTATAGTCGATACATTCATATATCAAGCACATCCCAAATACAAGAAGAGGTTTTCCAAAAGCAGGGGAAATATATCATACCAGGACTGTGTCTCACATAGTGCTTCTACCATAAGGAGTGGGGGAGGGTGGGTTCGATCCCTTGCTGACTGAGAGGCCCAAATGCTTGACGGTCTGCACACATGGTTCTGATGAGGTTGTTTAATGAAGCTGATCTGATGCTGTCTGGAGAAGAGAGTAAGCAGACTGGTTGCTGGGCTGTTATGACACAACACAGCAGTGTAATTAGGTAGACTACAATTCTGGAGGCTGCTTTGAAATATTTACACAGATTTCACATTAGAAGCTACCATGAGACCAGTTGAGTCAAAATGATGAATTTTATAGTCAGACTGGTACTGGTGAGCACACTTTTCCTGTTTATTGCAGTAGCAACTGGAGTCAGGTGTGTTTAGACGACTTTATTCTTTGTTTTATGCCAAAATGAGACCTGTGATTTGGGCATTTCAATACATAAGGTATTAAGACTACTTTCAGTGAATCTCACAAAAACTGTCCACAGTATAAGTATTAATCTACAGATTGGGGTCAGTAAAATATTTGTAAAAAAACAATTTTATTCAGCAAGGGTGCATTAAAATGATCAAAAGTGACAGTAAATACATTTGTAAGGTTGCAAAAGATTTATCAAAGAATCCTGAAAAAAATGTGCATGGTTTCCACAAAAGAATATTAATCAGCACACCTGTTTTTAACATTGATAACAATGAGAAATGTTACATAAAATCAGCATCAGAATGATTTCTGAAGGATCATGTGACACTGAAGACTGGAGGTATGATACTGAAAATTCAGCTTTGACAAAACAGGAATAGATAACACTTTAAACTATATATATATAAAAAATAAAAATAAAATAACATTGTAATAATATTCCACAATAAAACTGTTTTACTGTATTTTTTTATCAAATAAACTCAGCCTTGATGCTCAGTCTTTTGTCAGAAACTTCTTTCAAAAATCTTAGTGTATGTTTTTTATTAAGAAAATGAAATTATCATAACGCAAAATAAATAAATACAGAAATAATTCTGGTTGCATTCCTGTAATGTAAAAAAGACACATTTATTTTATTATTTAAAAATATTATAATACTGTATTTTTTTTGCTATAAAATTGAGGGATTTATATTAAAAATTGCAGAATCACCGTTGAGACTAATGGGAATGAGAATTTGGGGAACAATCTGCGTAATGGTCATGAAAATATACAAACATTTCCATAACTTTAAATCTTGAATCAATCCATGAGATTTCACCACGTTTTACTCTTATTGTTAATTTTTCTGGTGTTTCCAACAAGTGGGCCAAGACCAAATAAGCATCACCGACGTGTTAATGTTTTCTGTGTGATGCTAGCAGGTTTTGTACATTCAGAACAAGATGTTTTTGTAGTTTAGTTCAAATAAATGGCCTTTTTTGAGCTGAGGAGGATAATTTGATGAAGCTGCGACAAAATCCTTTATCTCATAAGATCAAAGACGATTTGATTCCTCGTCTGACCCCTTTAAAATTATTTAAAAAAAAATACACACTTCACCTTTAAATATTTCAAATCTTCAACAAGCAGTTTGAAGCAACATGAGAGAGTTTTATTGATATGAAAATGTATTTGTAACACAAACCATTGTTCTGGCTTGATTTGTTTTTCTCATAGTTCAGCGGTGGGCGTGGGTTTCTATGGAAACAGCGAAACCAACGATGGAGTTTACCAGTTGACTTACTCCATTTATAATGCCAATCACACACTGGGTGGCATTGGCAGTCTGGTAAGAGTTTCACTTCCTTCTCCTGTCACTCATCATGTTGTCTCATTTCATTGGAATAGCCTGAGGAACACTGTGATTAAACGAAATCTGAATGCTGCTTGCTGAAAATCTAAGAGCTGAGGGCCTCAGGAGCTTTTCACTGCTGCTGGAGTATGAGTGTATCATGTGATGAGTGGCACCCACCCACACACACACACACACACACACAGAAACCCATAGATGCAGGAGTTGAGCACTGCTGCAGGCTTCATCACTGTGAGTTTAAAGCTGTAGTCATTGTGCCTGTCCCATTTTTAACTTAAAGTTTAAGTTGTAGATAGACTCTAGAAACCTTTCCAGATGCAAACACATCCAGCTGACAAGGGAAAACAGTAACAACAGAGAGAAGACTGGGATTATCTGTTCATCTGCATTAAAGGGGATTGAAAATCTATCTGCATATCCACTCGTGCATCCACATTCACTGGTCTGCTGGAAATGTTTGTAAGCGTCCTGCTGATCACAGAATGATTGAGGATTTCAGAATGTGTGTGGGAAGGACACCCACCACTGAACGACTATCAACAGACCACTTCTCGAATAATTCAATTTCATATATTTAATTACATTGAATTAAAGTTTAATTAATTAAAATGTTTAATTAAAAATTTTGTTTAACTGTTTTATTTTATTTTATTAAATAGGCTACAGGTAGCTCAAAGTTTTCTGACAAGTTAAAAAACAAGAAAAAGGTTGTAGGTAATGTTCAAAACAGTGTACTTGCTCATAATGTGATATGAAGTAGTGCTGGGCCATGTGTTGTTCACCATATATTTACAGTGAAATTTGTAAGTATCACCATGATTTTAATGCACTTTTTATTTGGTCATTATGTTTTCTGAAGAGCATACCAGTTAGGTTAGTTTCACAATTGTGTAGTTCCACAACAGTAAGCTTTTAATAAATCCAATTCAAAATCTGTCATTTAACAATTTGTTTGCATCATCACTCAGAAATGTTCATGGAAGCCTCTGCATGGAATTTTGCGTCTATAATTTGCATGTATTAATAAAATTTAATAGGTAAATATTTGCTATTTTTTGCCAGGGTCCCATCAGGTCCTTACGGAGCCCCTAAAGGGACATGGTGGTGGAAAAAAATCAGACTGAGTGAAAAAATTTGGGGTGGGAGGAAAAAATATTTGTCAGATTTTTTGCGTTCTCTCGCAAAACTTTTGCATTCCCTCGAGAAACTTTGCGTTCCCTCGCAAAACTTTTGCGTTCTCTCGCAAATATCTTTGCGAGAGAACGCAAAAGGGAACGCAAATATCTTTGCGAGAGAACGCAAAAGTTTTGCGAGGGAACGCAAATATCTTTGCGAGGGAACGCAAAAAAAAATTTCCTCCCACCCCAAATTTTTTTCCCACCACCATGTCCCTTTAGGGGCTCCGTAGGTCCTTATAAAGTCTTACATTTATTTATTTTTTCCTTTAAAATTTACGGTGATTAAAAACTCTTAAATACATAGTTTAAGAAAAGTCTTAATTATCATTTCAAGAGGTCACGATATGATGTAACGTGATGATTAAACCTCAAAAGACTGATTTAATTAAATAAATATGAGCGCTGCATGTTTCAAAGTAAAAACATGGTGCTTATGCACATTTGGGTCAAATGTGCATTCAAAAAATGTACAAAAAAAAAGTAAACAATTAGATTAATAAGGTGTCTAGAAATGTATATAATCATATCATAATCATAATTTTGACTCATGGCTGAAATGTTAGGTTTATAATTTTTATCAAATTAATTTTTGTTCAAACTTGTATTATTTGAACTGCAAAATAGTTTAAAATGACATTTTATGGGTTACATTTACATTTACATTTAGTCATTTAGCAGACGCTTTCTGAAGTAATGAATTTAGGTAAATGGGTGCAGAGCCAGTGGTGGTTTTGTAGGCAAACATTAATGCCTTGAATTTAATGTTAATGGGTTAGGATGTTAATGTGAGCATTGACCCCTAATTAATATTGCATTTTTTGTATTTTTAGGTGTGCAGCTAGCAAGTTTGATTTTAAAAGCTCTACAGATACACTGATTACTATACAGTGTATTGTTACGTATACATGAAAATGATTAAATATTGACTAAATGTTTCAAAGGAAATTATGATTTGGAAAAATATTATTTTTTTTTTACTCCTAAACTCAGTCGTTGTAATCGTAGTGGATTAAGAGCAGGCTTACAAAATCTTTCCTTTCCATCTATGCACTGAGTACTGTTATATTTAAAACAACCCACAAACAGTGTTTCCAGCGGTATGTCTTGGATTTGAGGGCTGTGTATTTCAGCATATGGCAGGTTGAGTGTGACAAACGGAGCATTTGGCTGGCTGGCAGAACACTTCTCCTCATACAGCCCCTGATGTTCATTACCTGCTGGCATGTGGTGACAACCTCTGTTCTTCTAATACACCGCCTCCAAGAGCTTCCCGCTGTCACTCTCATTCTCTGCCAGTGTATGTTTGGCCCACTGGCCCATAATGCATTGCTTCACGGTTGAGCGATCGTATCTAAATAAGCTGTCTAGAACAGACTTTCCACTGTTTGCTGTAGCTAAAACAACATTCAGAATTTGAGAACAACAAACAGCCATTGGCTTTACTACAACTTCATAAATCCAATTTCAGCTTTAGTGGAAGTTTTTCTCTTAAAATTGAAAGACAAAGAGGACCGCATCTGAAGGCCAAGCTTGATTGCACAACTGAATGAAAGAATGTTGAAGTTATTGGGAGAGTGAGGAGGAAGTTTTTTTGCTGCTAGGCTTTATAAACGCCTCCTGCCTGTAGTGCCAGAAAATAGCTGTTGCAACAGTGAGTAAATGGGTGAAGTGATTGCCATTTTTCATGCTTCTAACTCTATTTCATGCAGTATCCTTACCTTCCACAAAGGAAAGTGAATCTAATATATAAATGTTAGTCCTTTTGAATATTAATCTTTATGTATCTTAATTACGCTTTCACCATCTCGAAATGATGAGTTATAGATCTATTATTCAAAAGAGCCACATATTGCAATTCACTGTAACGAAAGCAGAACAAGCAATTATTGCCAAGAATGAGAGAGGTTTACCAGAAATGCCACATGATGGCCTTTAAAAAGAGGGAAAGAAGAGGTCAAACGGCCAGATTCAAGCAAATATTACTTTTTCAGCTAATATACTGTACTGATGAATTATATAAATGATTTGATGTCTCATAACCAATTTAAAAACAGAATCAGATACAGATTATGTACCATTAAGCCAGTCTAGTGTAGTTTACTCTGGCTGGATAAGATGTGTTTATATAAAATTGGTAGCTAATTACAGTAAAGTCACAGCATTCTCATATAAAGGTTGTACACAAAAACTATTATTGCTGTCAAAAGGTTTTTTCACAATTGTGTAGCATTCGGTTATTACAGGCCTTACAGACAGGTCGATACATGAATAGATCTCTGACATCGACTCAAGCCGGCTCTAGTGTTTTAAAGAAATAAGCACAGAATATTTAATGGTAATAACTATACACCGTGGCAGGCGGATAGCAGTAATATTTCAGTGGTGACCTGGCAAAATCTTCCTGAAAGCATTATTGATTCTCTGCTAGCCTCAGTGAATCTGTCAAAAAACAGTGATTGGGGACTAAAGAAACTGACTGCAAACTTGTTCATTACTTTCTGGAAAGTTTTTAGCCTAGAAATCATTAACAATGGATGGTCCGCCCCCCCCCCAAAAAAAAAAAAATCAGCTTCCTTAACCTGCTAAACCTTATTTTGAGAAAGTTATTTAGCTGGTACCTTCATTTAATTTTATCCATTTCTTGTCCTTTAATAAGTCATAACATAATGAAGATATCTTGTAAAATGTCTCCGTGTTGTTGTTTTCTGTCTACACAATGAAAGTCAATTGGGTCCAATATTGTTTGGACCCCCGAATATCTATAATAATTAAGGAAATCAACGGGCTTGCATTTTTTTGGCTTAAAGAATTTCTCCGCTTTCTGTCACTCTCGTCACTTACTTTACTCCTCGGGCAATCCCATGATCCCCTGTGCATGCTTTCTGCTCCCATAGAGAATTAATTGGAAACAGCCATTCGTTTCTGCGCCAGTGGGCCCGATCGCCACTATTAGCCTTGTATTGGTGAGCAGCATTTTTCTTGTCTCCCGTCTCAGGTGGGAAACTCATTGGGTAGTATGCAGGTCGGACTGAAAGAACACCTGGAGCGGTTGGATGAGATATTTTCTCCACGGGGAGACTACACTCAAACCTTGCGCTTCATGCAGCAGATGGCCAACAACATTATCCAGCAGCTGACAGCCATGCCAGACACAAGGAAGGTGCAAGTGGATTTGGCAGTCATCGCGGATAAAACTTCATTCATAGAGTACTACAGGTAAGCTGCCTTTGGCTGGTGGGGTAATGATGTCTTATTTACGTCACTCCTTGCTCTTGAAAACTTTTGCAACAACATGTCCTATGTCTCATCAGAGGTCAGAGACAGGACGGCTCCATGTACTCTAGAGACCGCTGATGTAGAAATGTGTTAGAAAGTTTCAGAAGCCCTATTCCTCAATCATGTGACCCTATTTTTCAGACTTCTGACTAGAGATGCACTGATGTATCGGCCAATAATCGGTATCGGCCGATAAATGCAACTTATATCGCTATTGGCTGATCATTCAAAACCAGCCGATGATCAGGGCCGATTATATCCTGTCAATCAAAAGGCAGCGGAAAAACGTGTCAGACTGCAACTCATATTGTGTGTGAAGTAGGGCTGTGTAAAAAATCGAATGCGATTTTCATGCGCATCTCTTCAGTAAAGCCGCTTCTGGTGATTAGTAGTAAATCTCCAGCACGTGCTTTCAGATGGAGCGGCGATGAAAGAAAATGGAGATGGAGATGAAAATCGCATTCGATTTTTTGCCCAGCCCTAGTGTGAAGAAATTCTCTCTGTTGAATTTAGGACTGTCAAAATTAACATGACAACATTAACAGTTAAAAATAGCGACATTAAAGCAGGCTCTATTTGACCATATGAATCACCCATAGTTCAAGCCAGGGTTGCCAGATCCGCAGTTTCTCTCTACACCAAACATTATTTGTAGCACGCCTCCCATCCAATAATTGCAAAGAGCTTTGTGCTTTCTTACTTCTGATAAGAAACAGTCTCAGCTTTCAAATCGTGTACATTCTTTCACGAAATTCAAACAATGAATGCCATTTTGACGCTTTTAAATGTGACGTGACAGATTGCTGTAGCACCTCAGTTCAAGCAGCAGCACGGAGCGCGAGTCTCTTCCACTTTTATAAGTTATAGTGCAAAATAGACATGAATGAAAATCAGAAGGTATGTTGAAAGATACAGTATAGCTTACCAAAATGTATCATGTCTTATGTAATCGCTCAATCAGTGTTTCAGCCATGGAAAGATGCCAGTAAAACAGATTGTGAACAGTATGTCACTTAACATGGCATTTACCTCAGCTATGTTATCCACTGTTCACAGTTCATTAGTTAGCTATAAAGTAACACTAAAGACGAGCTTTTTTACTTATAATTATATATGTATGTTTGAATAAATCTGGCATGAAGACAGGTATTTATGAAGACTGTGCAAATGAGTTGTAAACAGACATTTAGATTTTTATTTGAGTGTAATTATGATATCTGAAAATGAATAACAGTTGAATATAATAGCTCTGTTGTTAATTTTAACCTTTAATATTATAGTAATGTGCCAAATGACAGGGTTCTCTGTGTTGTTAACTGCATCCTTAAGAAAATCAAACTATTGGTATCGGTATCGGCAGATATCATTCTGAATAATTTGACTATCGTTATCGGCAGAGAAATTCAGTACTCCGCAAACATATGAGCCTATTTTTTTTACTTTTCACCCTACTCCTCAAACATATAACCATATTTTTTAGACTTCTGACCTTACTACTTCAAACATGTAACCCCATTTTTCAGACTTCTGCCCCTACTCCTCAAATATGCAAGCCAATTTTTTTGTCCTACTCCTCAAACATGTGACCCCCTTTTTTTTCAAACTTGTGGACCTACTCCTCAAATATATGTCCCCATTTCTTAAACTCTCACTCTGCATCTCATAATTATGGCCCTACTTCTCAAACATCTTGCCCTGCCCCCCTTACCCTACTACCCCTACCAAAATCAAGTTATTTCTAATGGGGCACTGCCTTAAAGGTGCCAGCTTTGGCCTACTTCTTAATCTTTACTGGCACTACTACTGGATCTCATGTCAACTAGGTTACTCGTGCCCTTTTGGAGCTGTTAGTCTTGTTAAATTGATTTGTATGCCCTCCAAGAAGATTACATTTCCATTTGTAGACCTGCACGTTATGAACTTGCAGTGCATGTATTGACGAGTAGCTAGTGTTTCATGCAGCTAAAGGACTGTGCTATTGAGCAGCAACGGTCAAACGTCTCTTCCTCCATTACTCATAGACAAATTTAATCGCCCAAGCTCTGGACTCCCTCCCTTGATTTATCAAACACCTTTGTCTCTATATATTTCTCTCCCTCTCTCTCTTTTCCTGTCTCAAGATGTGTGGGCATTTTTAAGTCCTCATGGTGTAGGATTACTGATGAGATTGTGGCTTGCCAGTCATTCCAATAGCATACCAAACTGTGTAGACCTTGAATCAATACAGTACAGAAAATACAGTAAAACACCTGTTTTTTTTTACATGTGGTTTCAATGCTCTAACATTGCTAGAAAACCCTACAAATTAGTTCATTTTGTGAATGTTTTATTGAAATGTTACATACTACATAAACCAATGTATGCACTCAAATGGCATGTCTGATTACCAGAAGTAACACCTTCTCAGAGTGAGCTGTTTGCCAGATTGTCTGTTCTCACATACTAGGCTGGAGCTCATGAAATTCTTATGTGTCTTTGGTCTGTTCAATTATTAATCGTATGGATGGGAAACATACAACTGAAGATGGAAGAATAATTTGAGTGCCATAAACACCCACTTTTAAAGTACTTAGAGGCCTGCTGACAGTGGGCTCCCACACATCTAAATCACACAGTAGATGAATATTAAAATCAGCACTATCAACTGATTTAAAAAGAAATCGAATGAGGTGACGCACAGTTTAATCAATCAGATTATATGAAAATGATAGCATAAGCATTATTTGGTTAGAAAAGCACTGACATATGTTATTTGTTTGTTTTTATATCATTGAACATTACGAGCCATTTTTTAATCACATTTTTAAAAAATAATACAATGTACCCAACTGAAAGCACACATAAAAAATAGAATATATATGTGCCTTTTTTATACTGTCTAAACACTTATTTCTGCTCTCATCTTTCATCATCTTTCATTTGCTTTATTTCAGATGGTTAACATACCTGCTGCTTCTGATTTTGGACCTGCTCATCTGTCTCATAACATGTCTGGGATTGGCAAAGCAGTCTCGATGGCTGCTCGCAGTGTAAGTTTGCTCTAAATATCAATATATTAGACATCTGGATTTGGGTATTCTCTTCACAGAAGGAAAGTTGGACCTGTTTTTGTAATCATGAAGCCATTTGATGTCAACATGGAGATAGAAGGCAATATATACTTGCATATACGATGTGTCACGTGTCATATGACCTGTATTTCAGCTTGCATATGATCCTTTCCCGTTGTTAATTGTTTGTATAGTGTCGTGAAGTTGTTTATTCCTGCTAGCTTGAATCCCTAACGGATGCACTGTAAAATAATGCAGCCTCTGACATAAACAGACCTCTGTGGAATGACTTTGAGTGCATCGAGTGCTGTGGCTAGCTAGTCGCCAGCGAGCCCTGCATTTCCTCTCATCTCAATCCTCTGTCTCTCTCCCCGTTTGCCTTATTGGAAGCGCCTTTAGATCCATTCCCACTTACCCCACTAATGCTTATTGATTTCTCTGCCCGTGCAAACGTGTGCTCGCCCTTAACTAATTATTACGTGCTTCCAATCCGCTTTATTGGTGCTTTTAAGACCATCCTCAGACAAGAAAGGCTGTTTGAGGAAACCTTGGCTCCATTTTCCATGGCCACCAGGGAGCCGTTTACCCCATTCATCTCTGTCTCCTTTTGACTCTCTATTTGCTCATGTGATCGCTCACATGCTCTTGTGTTTGATCACTTTCGGTTCACATCCTCATTCATGTGCTTCTTACTAAAGTGTAAACAGGATAGTTCAGTTTCCCAACATTTATTCTTATGAGAAGGTTCTTTTAATAATTCGGTCAAAAGAGTTGTTTTGAATCATTTAGTAAGTAATGATTTACTTAATGAATTACTTACTGAATCTATCATAGCAGCTATTTGAAGCAACATCGGATTTACTTACTAACTGGAAGTTAAGTTGATATTCATTTACACATTCACAAAAATTTTTTTCGTAATAAATGGTGTTTTCATAGAAAAATCATTGATTGGTAGTATTATAGTAGAAAGTACATATACTGTCAAACTACATAACACACTGTAAGTTTGGGGTCAAGTTTTTTTCAGTTTTATTCAGCAAAGTATTAAATTGATCTAAAGTGACAGTAAAGGGCAGAAAATGATTTTTATTTAAAATAGATTCTATTTTTTTAAACTATGTATTCATCTAAGAATCGTGAAACAAAATGAATCATGGTTTGCACAAAAATATATGAAGCAGCACACCTGTTTTCATCATTGATAATAAT